TAGCAAAGCGTGAGAGAAAGAGAGAGCCAGATATTGTGTGGCAGAAACTTTCCTTAAACAGCTGGGAATCAACAAATGGCATTAAGTGCTGGACTTTCTCAAAGCGAGCCTTTGACTGCTCCATCAGTATGTCATATTACTGTGCAGCTACTGAGTCCACAGCATCCTACCCAATCTTGATTCTGTCAGGCGATTTGAACTGACCCATTGTTTCAAGGCTTTCCAAATGTTTTCAAAACACTGATTCAGTGTCTCTGTGTGTTGAAACACTGTGTGGACGGTGTGAGTTTGAAGGGTCCACCTTGTTTGCCCTGACACTGGGCTCCTCCTGCCACACACTTCATCTAGGACTATGGTTCTCTTAGAGGGGTTGAGAGAAATACTGCAAAAATGCTGAGTTGCTGGCAAAAAATACTCTGTACACTGCCACACCAATCAGTTCAATCTGATAATGCAGCAGGACTGCTGTTCTCTCACACATGTCAAAGTATGCATGAGGCAATGTGATGAGCTTGTTTTAAAAATTAGAGGACTAGGGCTTCTAATTATGGAGTTTTTCAAGTTTCTTAGCAGTTCTGCTGACTAAAGGCGAGAAACACAGCAATCTTTTTTTTTTAAAGTGATGTATACTACCAGTCAAATTTGGACACACCTTCTCATTCAACAGAGAAGGAAGACCAACCGAGTCCCCTCTGCTGCTGAGGATAAATTCGTCCAAGTCGCTAACCTCAGAAATCACAAGTTAACAGCGCACCTCAAATTAGATCCCAGATAAAAGCCACACAGAGTTCCAGTAGCAGACACATATGTTTGAATCAGGCTTTTATGTTCAAATAGCTGCTAAGAAACCACAACTATGGAAAAGCAACAAGCAGGAGTCATTTATTTGGGCCAATAAAACACAAGGAATGGACATTAGACCAGTGGAAATCTGTGCTTTGGTCTGATGAGTCCAAATTTGAGATCTTTGGTTCCACCTGCTGTGTCTTTGTTTGATGCAGAAAAGGTAAACTGATGGTCTCTATGTGCTTGGTTCTCACTGTGAAGCATTGAGCAGGAGGTGTGAAGGTGGGGGCACGCTTTTGGTGACACTGTTGGGGATTTATTCAAAATTGAAGGCACACTGAACCAATATGGCTACCACAGCATCCTTCAGCGACATGCAGTCCCATCCGGTTTGCGTTCATTTATTTTTCAACAGCACAATAATCCCAAACACACCTCCAGGCTATGTGAGGCCTATTTGACCAAGAAGGAGAGTGATGGAGTGCTGCACCAGATGGCCTGGCCTCCACAGTCTCCTGACCTAAACCCAATCGAGATGTTTGGGATGAGATGGACCGCAGAGTGAAGGCAAAAGGGCCAACAGGTGCTCAGCATCTCTGGGAACTCCTTCAACACTGTTGGAAAACCATTTCAGGTGCCAACAGTGTGCAAAGTATTAATCAAAGCAAAGGGTGGCTATTTTTCTCTGTATCTATGAAGCGCCTTGAGGCGACTTTTGTTGTGATTTGGCGCTATATAAATAAAATTGAATTGAATTGAATTATTTTAAAGAATCTAAAATATAAAACATGTTGAGTTATTTCACTTTTTTGTTTACTACATAATTCCAAATGTGTTCATTCATAGTTTTGTAGATTCTCATTGAAGACATCAATGAAAACAAAGAAAAACCATTAACTAAGGTGTGTCCAAGCTTTTGACTGGTAGTGTACCTGAGCACAATTGCACAACAGCTTAAACATCCTGTATATGTTGTGTCATCAGCTCACACACAAATGGTGTCTGCAATTTTTTCTTCAAGCAGTGGATTTTGACTAGTTTTAGAGGTGTACTTGACACCTGTGTGTCTGAAAGATAATCAGCTCACTGGCCATCCAAACAAGAGAACTGGTCAACCTAGTGATAGTGAATCAGCTCGTTGTGCCAATATAGCGGTACGATGTCACCTGGACCTAACATTAATAGCACTACACCATTTCCAGTAGGACTTTTGCTACTTGCATGTTTCATAATTTTGTTTGATATCTTTTTAGATCCAGTTTATTTTTGGTGTGCTTAGACTTGCTCTTAGCCAGTTCTTTTGTTGAAACCAAGTAGCACAAAATTTTGTTGTTGGTTCCTGGCTGCAGCTCAGGAGGCGATGGTTTGATTCCTGGCTCCCCCCAGTCTGAATTCCAAATATTCTTGGGCAAGATATTAACCCGAAGTTGCTCTCCGATCCGTCCATCGGAGTATGAATGTGTGTGAATGGTAGTTAGTGAGCAGTAGAAGACAGTGCTTGTGTGAATGGGTGAATGCGGCATGTTGTATAGAGCGCTTGAGTACTCCGAGAGAGTAGAAAAGCACTAAATAATAATCAGTCCATTTACCATTTACATCATTTAAAAAATCATTTGGACAATGTGGTCCCTGTCTCTTAACTTCATGTTTTTTCTCCAAAGAAATCAAAGAAAATGCACATGAAATGAAAATGAATGACTAAGTAAATGATCAGCTTGGTTGATCATTGCCGCTATAGTCACGTTGCCCTCTGCGCTCTCAACGTTCTGGGTTGAGCAAGTTTTCAACCTCTGTTATGCACAATGTCTAATGGACTCTTGGCTTCATGGCTTCTTATGATTATCTTGCACATCTTTCATGCTGTTTTATATCTCTGATTATCACTCTCATATTTCTGCCTGATCATCTGTATTTTTTTGTTAACCAGGGAGACGATGGAGGACAACTTGGTGAACGCCATGGAAACTATTGACAATGACCTGGGAGGCAGCCAGTCAGCAAAACCAAACTTACCGTCCCTGATGTTTAAAATTGCTTCAAAAAGTAAGTTGACAAGTGGAGACAGAAGGTGGTTTTTAAAAGATAAAAAAAGAGAAGGAACACTTTTGGCGAACTTTTAATTTGAACATTTGCTCAATAGATTGTCACTAATTTTACATCAGGCATTCTTGTTCCCTTCAGGAAGAAATGCAAAAAGTATTTGAGGACAGACAATAATAAAAACTTGCTCTTGTTTGTTAGAGACAATATTTATGTAAGTGTGTGTGTTTTGTGTCAGGATATCGAACAGTGGACGCCTTGTTACAGCGGATATTTGAGGCTGATCTGGACCCTGAAGATTTTGCTGAGAATGACGATCCTGAAGCTCGGGGCAACGAGAACTTTGCAAATCCCTTATTCAGCCATGCATAGGCATTTGTAAACATGTATGAATGGATACAAACTGTAGTCATTTTACACTTTCAGAAATGTTGAAATCTGATGTTGACACACTGCACTGGATAAACAATATGATTGGGTGCTAATCAGTCATATCTAGTGTTAAATGTTCATATTTCTGTCCTGTATCTTTGTGTAAAAATGCAAGAAAACAAGAATTTTCACATAAAGAATTCTTGCACAGATTTGTTCAAAAATGCTTTTAGACCTTTGTTTTTTAAAAGTCTTAATTGAAGCTATATATTATATATGTATATTTTATATATTTTCAGTTTAAAAAAATGTCACTAGGCTTACAATACAAGCATAATGCGAAGTATGTGTGACGAATCACACTTCTCTGTTTGCCAAATTGATATACAGGTCTGGGGTTTCAATTGCCAGGAGACTGCTACTTGTCTGACTACATTGTGCCAAGTGTAAAGAAGGAGGGGAGATAATTTATTTGTTTTTGGTTTTTTTGTTACTGTTGTCTGTTTTTTTTTTTTGGGGGGGGGGGGGGGCACCCCGTAGTTTCAGTGAAAGGAGCTCTTAATAATTCAGCATACCAAAACATTTTCCAAAACTTTCCTGCTCGCAACTCTGTGGGTAGGAATAGGGGGATGGTTCCTTCCTGTTTCAACATTTCAACATGATTGTGCACCAGTGCACAGGACTAGGTCCATGGAGACATGGCTGAGTGAAGCTGGTGTGGAAGAACTTGACTGAACCGCACAGCTTTCTGACCTTTGCCATGATTACAGTGGAGACTGTGAGCCAGGCCTTCTCGTCCAGCATCAGTGTCTGACCTCACAAAGGTGCTTTTGGAAGACTGGCCAAAAATTTCCATAAACACACTCCCAAACCTTATGGGAAGCCTTCCCCTGAGCTGCAAAGGATTGGAAGACATCATATTAAACCCTGTGGATAAAGAGTACGATGTCACTCAATGATTATATGTGTGTGAAAACAGACAACAGACGGCAATATGTAAAATTGGCAAATGAGGCCTAATCCCTGGAATATGCTGGAAAATATGTTGATGCCCCTTGAAAAGTAGAAAGAATGACTTCATCATCATTCTTTCTTATGTGTATATGTACTCTGACCTACCCAGATAAACATTTCACGAACAGTCACACATACGATAATTAACATCTGCATTAAAAAAAAAAAAGATTGGATTTTTTGGAGTGTGTGTGAGAGAGAGAGAGTGAGTAAGTATGGATAGATATATATATATCATGTTCATCATCCCCCTGCAAATGTAAAGTTACTGTATGTGTTGTTCTCTATTTGCGTTAACAAATTTGTAACCACAGAATACACGCATTCACAACTAAGTGCGGAAAGAGGAATTTGGAAAAGTGCTGTGCCCGCTAGGCTAATTAATAAGAACCATAGTTAGTGTCAACCAGAACTATTTTCTCTTATATGGCTGATATCTTTCTTAGACTCTGCTCCTGATGCATTCTTCATTATGGTGAGAATCTTCAGGAGGTGGGTAGGTTTGTTGGTGACTGCTGCCAGAAATAGAGTACGATAAAACATGTAATCACTGCTAAATTATAACACGATGTTCAGATTAGTTTGCTCTCTTCAGTGTTGCCAGTTGTTTAAAAGAGCCTCAGCATGCCCAGCATACAACACATGCTGCCTAATGTATAATTCCTTATTGCTGCAAAGAAAAAGGAAAGAGTCTATTTCCAAAGTAGGAGATGACCATTAGCGATATGGTTAGCCTGCCAAACCTAACGTGTTAAGTTGTTGTGATGTCTTGCAATGGATGACAGGTTGGTGATTGTTTCATCTGTCCTCAAGCCCAACACTCACATCAAAACAAATCAGGGAGTCATAGTTTGTTTATTAGCTAGAAATATGTTCACTTTGTAGCTCAGTCCTGTGAAAAGGAGTTTTTGCTGTGCTTTATGCAGTTCTGTGAAAAAATAAGTACAACCTTACTGCTTTCATAAGAAATAAGAGGGTTAGGTGGCAGTCACGTCCTGTAAATGCACTTAATTTAATGATCATCAGTAAATGTGAGCACCTCCTATAAAAGTTTGGTGGTCTTTAGTTTGCTGGTCTGGAGCAGATGCGTGGCTGTCCCAGTAACTTCACCCCAAAGTCAGACTGTACGATGCTCAAAAAACAGAACGTACATCTCAGATTCTATAGGCCTTAGTTAGCATGTTAAATGTTAAAGGTCGTCGGAGTTCAAGGTTGCCGATAGAAAGCCCCTTCTCTCTAAAAAGAGTATGCAGTCAATGAGTCAGCCATGAACTCTTGATGATTCTAGGTGCATCTAACCACTTAAGCTGGACTGAAATTGGGTGATGCAACAGGACAATGATCCCAAGCACACCAACAAATCGACAATTAAATGGGAAGAAAAAAAGAATCGAGGTGTTACAATGTCCCAGTCAGAGAGCTTAACACAACTGAAATTCTATGGCTTGAACTATAAACAAATGTCCACAAGGTTACAATTTACATACACTAAAATTGATTGACAAACGTTGCAGTTTTGGATGAAGAAATGGTTGTTACATTTAAAGTACTTCTAATATTTTGTCTTTAGGAATGGGAGCTTATTGGCCACTTCTATTCAAATAAAGATTATTAAGAAAAAAATAAATCCCTATACAACTCCGCGACAGCAGGGGGCGGTGTGAGTGGCACTGCAGCTTAGACATGGCGACGCCAAGGGGGTGTGCGTGTATGTGGTGCTGATGCTGAGAGATGGAGGAGAGGGAACGGATTTATCTCAGCTCGCTGGTGTCCGGACGGAAAACAATACTCAGGTAAGAAGAAACGGATTGACATAAGCGTCAAATGACATAAGGCATAACAAATTTTCCGATGAACTGTGTGATCAGGCTGTATGTGTGTGTGTGTATGTGCGTCTATGACAGTGTTAGTGGGAGAGTGTGAGGCCACAGGCAGGATGTCGGGTCAGTGAATCGTAATCGTTCGTTTCTGTGTGTGTTCCTACACACACACAGCTTTATGTGTGTGTGTGTGTATATATATATATATACAAATATGTAAAAGCAGAACAGGATTGGTGATCTAGGTTCTGCCTTAGGGTGGGATTAAACAGCGCTCATTCAACTGCCACTGTTTGATAATATATAAAAGACTGACTGTCAAAATAACAGCCTGTATGGTCACAGCGTTAGGTTGATTTTCAAAATAAATGTAACATTATACAACAAGACATTGACTGAAATGTATATTCTCCGGGTACTAATTATACTCATAGAGTATAATTAGTATAATTAGTATAATATGTGAGTGTAGAGCTGCAACTAATTATTATATTCATTTTTTTCTTTATTCTTTTTTCTGTTTTTTTTCCTGTAATGACAAAAATGAAAACAGTTCACTTCCCAAAGCCCACAGTAGTCGCTTTGTTTGAAATGGTTATCATCCATTTGCACTGTAAAATTAGAGAATTATGTGTCAAAAGGGTTACAGACATTTCTCTCCATAGTTTTGCGGCATTTGGCTGAATCTAAGAATGGAAAATAGCCCTGTACACTTTATAATCCATCTTCCTTCATTTTTTCTGTTTCTGAGCTTTGTCACTTTAGCCCTGCAGACATTTTGCTATTTCTCTGAAAGCTGTATGATTGCTGCCTTCACTTGCACTGACATTTCTCTTAACCTCCTGTTGAGGGTTACAGTGAACAGCCACCAAAATGCAAGATCAGCACTTTTAATCAACTCCAACTCCAATGTGAAGAGAACTCTGATCACTCTATAATTACTCCTTTATTTATCCAGTTAAAAATCTCATTGAGATTAACATCTCATTTCCAAGAGACACCTGGCAATAATGAAGCCAGAGAGTGTCAAATAGTGCTTTATTATTGTTGTATATAGACTGTATATGCAGAATATTGCCAAAAGTATTTG